CATAAAAGGTCACACCATCTTGGTCTTCATACTTTCGATTAAAATATTGCATTATTTATTTTTCCCTTGGTGGATTCACGGTAAGATTAGCCACAGGTAAGATTAGACACAATATAGTAAAGTAGGCGTGGTGAGCAAAGGGTTAATTAACACAAATCTAAATCACGGCTCCTAGGTAATTCCCCTTCGGCTTCCGTTGAGGTCAAATTACGAACCCCTCCCACTCGCTTCCTTAAGAGAAATAAAAGATACTCCAACATCATATATCGCCAACACTTTCACAACTATCACTTATAAAAACATCTCGCGACTAATCACGTTCTCGTCAGCCAAACCGAGCCTATCATTGAACCCACAAGCTCAATTTTAAGCACCAAGCCAAGTCGGCATCTTGGCACAGATCAGAAGCCGGCACTTCTTCACGCATACTAATTAGCAGGGAGAAATTCCAACTGAATGGACTTTACCCACGGCACAATCTACTTTATGACGATTATCCCTAATCTCTCTAACAGTACACATTTCATAATCTGCATATTAAACTAAAAATTCACCTATGAAAGATCTAGACCCTAGGCTAAACAGCAACCTAGAGGCCCCTGTTACGGCAGCATATCATAAACTAAGCAAGTCTTTTTACTGGATATGATTCAATGGACGCCTCCGCGAAGCGCTTCTAACGACTGTTACGTAGGCCTGTCTTTTTCTCCTCACATCTACAATGTGATGAAGTCTGTTGAAATTAAGCGTGAGGGCATTGTTCACTAAGCGTCTATGCCTAAGGCAAGGTAATCTAACAATCATGCCGTTGGACCCTTGTATGCTCGACTATTCTTGTGCTATTAAGAGGTGGCCTAACTAAAGGGCCGGATTTAAATAAAAGCCGTGCCTCAGGATTGAGTCTCTTCACAGCGTCCCATCCGATTACACGATTACAGCGAGCCGCTTATTCTGACCTATCTATGTACACCCGATCGCCATACAGTCTTTGTGCAAGATTGATGTCATATATTTTTATCCTCTGAAAACAGGTCTTATGGTACTACACGCATAAGCAGGATGATTCTAGATCGATTGAATGTATGTAAAACAGGCTAATTGAAAGGATTTGCTAAATTCCCAGAAAAACAGAAAATGAAAGAAGTCACATTAAAAAAAGTGATTATCGTGACCCCAAGGATAGCTAGTAAAGTCCTCACACTTGTAGAAACAACAACTAATGGATAATCTTATTTGATAAAAAGAAAACGCACCGACAAGTATAACTATTCGCCAAACCAGTTCGTTTGCTGCAAACGTGGCATCGCTTGTCTGGTCGACGTCTTGTTCCTCCTGTTTGAACCTCAGCCAAGCGATCAACATCTGATTCATTAGTTCTTGCATTCGGTGAGCCATCCAGCTGCCAGGAGCTTGTAGCCCTGTCTGTACGCTGAATAAATCGCCTTCCTGAAGACATGTTGCAATCATCATTGGAAGACAGGGGTGACATTGGCAGCTGGCAACTTGGCCCAGTCAGCAAAAGACGAGTTTGTTTGCCTATAGGCTGATTCGAGGAAGCGACGGTTGAGATCGTACTATTGTAGCATGCGTCGCTACCAAAAGAAGTAACGGCGACATGCGAATGACGCCTGGAATTTAGCTGGGATGTAGCCGTTGTATCGCGAACTGCATCCACGAGTAAGAGAAAAGAGGCAGAACCAGAAGCGACATCTGCTAGTGAAGTAGAATGGATAAGATTAGGCGCCGCCGATTTCGCCAGAGATGACTGCCTAGGCAAAAGTGGAAAAGTAGATTGCGAGGAAGACTCGGATGTCCCAGTAGTGAAACCGCCAATCAAAGGAGTATCTGAATTTTCACAACGAATAAAATATTAAGAAGCTATGAATGTAAAAAGTATATTAAAGTGAAAATCAAAATAGTTAGATCCTTTATGCTGTTATTAGAATTATTCCACATTACTTTTTTATCTGTTCTACTAATAACCGTCCACAATAACACGTACGAACTCAGAATACATTTATGAATAAACAATTGAATACTAGGCATAAACTATAAATAACACATACGGAATCAGCGTTCAATATGAAAAAAATGAGACTAATTTAAGAAATGAGATGATTTCAAATGTTTTTAACATAAAGAAGCTAGTAATTCAAGATTAATATATATAATTGAACCAGTATTATATTTAAAATAACGGAACAATTTTAAATAAAAATTAGATACAACAAACACATTCCCGATATACTAAATGCATCAGCCAATATCTACTCTGTAAACTAAGATATGGATTAATATGGAATTAAAAATTAAATACGATGAGTTGACCATAACTATATAATGGTTTAAGAGAAAATTATTTGCCTTCATTTGTCCTTTTTATCATTTGTTGCTCTGTGTTAGGTATGACGCCTCTAAATGATGATGCCGACTAGACGTCTTGAAATGTACCAATTTAACGGTATGATTCTGGAAAATATCATAAATGATATTCCACAAGATCTCCCTGTCGCTCCGATAAAGTTGCGAAAACGAAATCATAACACTATCTATTGAATAGTTGCACTCAACGCAAAGCATAAATGATCAGTCAATTAAAGGCAAGAAATCAGGTACATAACAAATGTACCAAAGCAACTAAACGTTTTAATTAATCTTGAGGCTTTATATCTTTCTAAATACAAAATTTGTAAAAGTGAAAACATGAACTTTTCGCAGTTAGACAAAACAAAATTTGAAAACCACTCGAACGTGTATTTTGGATAAAATTCAAGCTAAAGTCACCCGTAGCTAACCTCCAGTGTTAGATAATTATTTATTTTCAGAACCCAAAAGTGGTCCCAGTGTGTAGTTTAGCTATAAGTATTCCTTTGTACTAGACACAAATAGAGCATACATGATAAAGAAGATTGGAAGCAGGTATAAAATAAGAATAATGGATAAGGTAAATGACAGTGAGGGAATTCGTATAGGATAATTCAAAAACAAAATGTCGCATTAATAATGCAAGTTTGCGCAGCTTTACGGTAGGCATAAGTATTGCAGGTAAATGCTAGGAGCGATGATATCCTCAGCTGGCAAAACAACTAAAATCGTTCCATAAAATTTTCATGTCAAATATTAGTGTTAAGCAGATTAAAATGATATAAGTAAATAAAATAAGGAAAGATATTAACTAAGTATCACGGACATCAGGAAGAAAAGGAATATTGAAGAATAAAGTGAATAAGACGTATTTTCGAAAAATTTTAGGAAGCAAGCTAGCTGAATAAATAGTTTACCGTCGTTACCATGTGAATATGAAATAAAGAATCCCAACAAAACTAGATTATAATAACCTTTTAAATAAATGGAATACATTTATGAAAAAAACAAACGTATACATAAACGTGTACATCGAAAAAGGCAGTTAGCTAGTAAAGCTATTGGTCATACATTAGGATTATAATTTAAAAGTTCATTCGGAATACAATTTGCTGAAAATAAGCTAAAATAAAGATGCTTGTAGAGGGGCTAATGCTGACTACAATTTACGGAGATCGCAAGAGCACAAAACAAAATGTGCGAATGAATCAGATATAAACTAAGTGATAAAGTAAATATGAAGGAACAAATTAATTAAGCTTCCTATTAAACGGAATAGGCTTTATTAAGCTTCGTGGTTTTTTCAAGTACCAAGAGCTTGACAGTTGCCCTTTTAATAAAATAAGAATATAAAAAACGCTCTTCCTTACGCTGTAACAGCATACAGCCCCGTTAATTAGCGTCTAAAATAAAATCAATGTAAATAAGCCTATGGTTTGAACAATTACAAAGTTTGTCGAGTAACTTAGAGAAAGATTTTCCTAGTACCAACAAATGTGGGTAGCTCTGCCGATTTTTACTTCGCAACGATAAAATCAAGTATAGAGGAATCCAGTTTTATTGCAATAAATTCGGTGTAGGTGTAGACAAGCGCAAAAGCATGCACGGAGAATGAAATAAGAATCAAGAGCTTTCAGTATTCCAAAGATGACGTGGTCTGCCTCTGAAATATAAAACGCTTGCAATCTACGAAGTCAAAGTTGGAGACCCATAAACGAAGGGTAAAGGAAAAATACCAAGTGTCTATTTAGAAAGGACTGAATACAGTATGGGGGGATGACAATAGGAAGAGAATCATTGAGGCGGCACGAAATAGAACGCCGCGGATAACAGCAAGGGGGAGAAAGAGAAGGAAAAAACGTGACCAACCTAAACAGTGTGAGCTATTTGATATACTCTTGCGTAGTTTCCCATGTCAAGTTCTGATTACGCGATGCGATGCAAAGCTTTGATTGGTCGATGCGGAATAAAGAGTGAAGATTAGTCACGTTATCTGTGTCCAAGGCTGTTGAGCTATGGCTACATACAGGATGTAGCAAAACTAAAAATTGGATGTGAAAAGTGCAGGGACAGGTCAATACAAACTCATAATGGTAGTGTGTGAAGCTCCGAGTTTTAACAAGAATGACTCAGCTACACCCTTAAATCTAAATCAATTGAACAAAATATAAAAACCCTTATTTTTGTTAGCCACATCCTACAATGAGAAAAACAATCCCACATTACCAAACAAAATTCTCAAGCATCAATTATGATTTCAAGGAATTTAAAACCATGCTAAATAAATCTCGTGTAAACTATTTAAGCCTGGATTTTAATAAAAAAGGGGAACAGAAGAAAATCTTAACGTATTCACAATAATGAAAACTATTAAACACAAAATAATTATATAGCTTATAAAATGCACGAGCACATCAAACAATTGAATGGAAAAATTATTCAAATTCGGTTCTCCTAATATTGAGCTAAATTATGAATACACACATCCACTACAGAATATAAAAGATTAACATTTTAGACATCCGGGGGTCAAATAAATTGACCATTTAAAATAAGTATCTTACGAAATGGAAGAGACAAAAAGAAAAACATGGAAAACGTGAACCTTGACAGTTTTACGGCCAAATGTTTTATTTTATTGTAATCTAATATTTTTCAACATGCGGATGCCTCAAAGAATGCATGAAGAGAAATATAGGGTGAATACATTTCATATTAATGATTTACTGGTAGTCTTGAAACTCTACTTACATAGGAAAAAGAAATATAGATAAAATAGGAAATTAGGACAACAAAAAGTGGATATGCCTTCCTTTCTGTAAACTGGATAAAAATTGCGACCTTTACTATAAAGAGAAATATCAAGTTGAGCACAAAGCAGAAGACAACACTCTCCAGCGGTCTACCGACGCAACACGAGAAGATTGATAAACTAAATTGCTCGGAAGTTTATCACATAAAATGAGGTATATTAGCGGAGGAAGAAAAATTAGCCCGCGACAAAAAGGAACACAAAAGACTGCAGAAGAATGAATACGGAACGATTCGAAATAGCGGAACACATTGCAAGGACGGGGCATGAAATCGACAAAAGGGCGGCTGAATATGGTGAAAAAACAAGAAATAGCAAGGTACAAGAAGCAATTAATATCCTTACTGAAAGAAATTTAATGAACAGAAGACTTGAAGACAGGACTGGCGAATACTTTGCACATTATCTAAGCAAACTTGAAAATTAGTGAACAGCAAGATCGGCAAAAAGAAGACGGCTCAATCAAGAATACATCTCATAAGAATCACTGTTTGGCTGTCTGAAATCTGGCTGCCTAAGAACCTTATATCCCCGTCCATGATTACGCCATATTAGAGGAATCAGAGCAGATGATGCACATATCCATGCCTGGGAATCTTCTTCTACCAAGCTTCAAATCCGTGACTCAGTTGTTATCTCCCTCATCCCCACCCACACTGTGTCTCATTCTTTGGGGCCCGTGTCAGGCCTAAGTCATAACCGCTGGTGT